AAACGGCGGGGAGTAAAAAGGGGGGCCTCATGAAGTTTAAAGGGAAAAAAGGGGGGATCGATTGCAAGCGTATTAGAATGGTCATCGGCACCACAGATGGGCATTCGGCGAAGTCTGCAAAATTTCGCGGATGGCCAAATCGCCCGCAATTTTACACTGTTTTGGGGTAGGGACACCTTCGAACTTGTAACCCATGTTGTATATAAACTGGGGAAAGGGGTTTTCGGCTGTCAAAAATTAAAAAGCCCCATTGCTGGGTTCGTCTCCGCCCACGGGCAGGAAAACGTAAGGTCTACCCCGAGGTTGGAGTCTTGGAGTTCCCGCTGTTTAGAATGTCGGTGCCCCATGTTGGAAATTTTGTTGAACTATGGAGGGGCCAAAGGGAAAGCGGTACACTCAAGAATTGAGGGGGAAAGTGTTTTTTAAGGGACAGGAACAGTATCGTTGGGAAGCGAGAGAGTCATGAGCCTGGGTAGTTTTTGTACGGTAATGAGCGGTACCGCTCTTAAGGCATGAAAAGAAATTTTTACCAAAATGGCGTGGAGGCCTTCCAATACTTGGTGAAAGATAGGCAGAGAGGAAAGTTGGTCGTAAAGGAAGATTTTGTCCACTTTTCAGTCTGAAACTGAGCGTGGAAAGGTATTTAAAGGGCGTGTCGACGTTTTAAGAACGAGAAGGGGGGAGAAGTTATAGAGGTAATTGTCGTTGACGTTTTGGGGGTGGGACCAGGTTTGGGCCCCCGTGGAAGGGTCGGCAATTTGAAAATTGCCGCCCCCGTAGAGGGAGAGGGCCCGGAGTATAAGGAGAGCGAAGGTCCCATAAATCGAAGGAGTCAGTCGGGCCTCAGTACCCGAAGGGGCGAGGAAACAGCCCGGCTTTGGTAAGAGGGATGGGGAATGTTGAAGATGGTCCAAAGCGAGGCGGGGTCGAACGGGGTTCGGGATCAGAAGGGGGCCCCGGGGGGGGGGTACCAGGGTTTATGGACTAGGGCTGCCAGGTTAGCTAACTTTTCTTTTTGTTTTTAAGGGAAAAAAAAAAAAAAATAAAAAAGAAAAAAAAAAGGTGGGACCGGGGGGGAAGTCCTAGGAGGGAAAGAAAGGGCCGAAAACTCCCCCCGCGCCCCAAGAGGACCTCAGCACCGCAAGTAGTGCGTGCGCATGGAAACCCCTGCCATACCCTCCCCTCTGCTGTAAACTAAAAAAATGGGTGCAACCTAAAATCTGCCCCAGCTACCTCGGTGGACAAAGAGAGGGCGCCGGGTATCCGCCACAAAGCATACCCCCTTCGGCCCCCACCCCGGAAACTGAAAGGTGGCTTTCCCGAGATACACTCGTTTCCGAAAGACCCCAAAGCTACTCCCGGGGTACGGAGAGGGATCGGGACATCCCCCCGGGGATCCGATTCCACGGCAACTAGCCACCGCTAAGAAAACCCCAAGGAATGGGATGGACCCGGTATCCTTTCTCCTACCTAGGAACTAGCGCGCTTGGGAGAAATCCCAAAGGGGCAAAAAGAGGAGGGCCAAAAAGGGGGAGTGGGGAGGAGGAGGAGGAAAGGAAAAAGGGGAGGATGGGATGGGGGAGGGGAGATTGGGGGGTAATTAGGTTCGGTCTGAGGAAGAAGACCGATAGGTCTAATTCCTCAGACCAAGAGCCTCTTCACCACGCCAAGGAGCCCCCCTTGAAGAGGTTCACTGCCTTGAGAGACCATAAAGCCCAGTTGGTGTGGTTGAAGTAAATTGGCAGGTACTAGGCGAATGTTTCTTACTGCTGCTTTGGCAACGAGACTGCGAAATTAATCAGATGCAAGAGAAGTATAATACTTTGGGTCAGCATATGTTAGCTGCTAATCATACCTGGCGAGGAGAATCTAGCTGATTTCTTGTCTCAAGGTTTACCTTATGCTAAATTTGTAAATACTGTATCATGGTTTAAAGGACCGAGCTGGTTGGTAAATAAAGCTAATTGGCCTGTACAAAAGGCGTATATTGCTCTTTTTGAAATTACTGTGACCGCCACTCCAATAGTTTGTCCTTAGTCGTTGATATAAATAGGCATTATTCTTTACCCAGACTAATCAATGTAACTAAGTTGTTTAAATTTCTAAACAAGATGAATATACAAGTTTTCACATCCTCTTGAATATTGGATAAAGAGGGTACAGGAGGAAATCTATGGCACCGAGATTAAATTGATGGAAAGTAAAATTGTTATAGGTTCCATAGAGAAATTGGGACTATCTAGAAAACTATGTAATTAGGTGCAGAGGTAGATTACAAAATGCTGAATTGGGTGATTATGTTAAACACCCTATCTTACTGCCCAAAACTAATCTAACAAATTTAATTGTTCTAAATGCCCATAAAAATGTAATGCATGGTGGGGTACAAGATACCTTAATTTGTATTATGGAAACTTTCTGGATTCCACAAGGATGGCAAAGTGTAAAAAGGGTGATTAAATCTTGTGTAATATGTCGCAGTGTGTATGCCAGATCCTATATGTACCCAGGCCCTCCACCATTGTCAAATGAGCAATTTGAGTCGTTTAGCAACGAATTCCGCCCGGCTGCAGTGTGGAAAAATACTGCACATATTTTCCAGAAATACAGTAGTTATATGTAAATAGATGGCCATACTATATTTAATAATATTTGTCAAAAAATGGGAAATTTTCTGTACCTGCGCCTTCGCAGGACACTTGCGACAGTTTTGAATTTAGAGTAACAGACATTGTTAATAATGTGAAGAATTTTTGTGCTCTAGAGGTTAAAATTGGGCTGACACCTCAAAAAGGAGCCGAAATTGTTGGATGTGCAGTACTGCATAACTTGAGATATCAGGCGACAGGACAGGACAACTCCAGGAACCTCAGATAAGCTGTCTAATTTATGTTTAAATTCTGGCAAGTAAATTTTTCATTAATGTAGGCAAAAGGGGGGGGTCCTGTACAAGACATTAATCTCCAGTCAAATTGGCGAGTGATATTAAGATACTCCTGTTATGTAAGTGTATATATAATTATTTTAGTTTTAATATACAGTCCACAAATTTATATATTTACCAGAATTCCTGGTGTATGTATATTTCATTTATAATTAATAGGTCCAGAGCAACTTGTGGATATGACAGTGGTAGGTATCGAAGGGGGACTTTTTGCGACCTAGGTGTCCCAAATTCCTACTTGTCTATGTAACTGACAAATAATTATCTTTACCATTTACTTTTATGTATGTAACGAGATTTATACAAGTGAAAGCAATTTTCCACAATACATACATATATATATATACATATATATGTATATATGTATATATATATAATTACATATATTACGAGATCAGTGTTCGTGTACATTTCGCCTGCTCTTGAGAATTCCTTGCATTGTTAAAATCTTAGTAAAGGCTGATGCATGCAGGGGATGGGATGAAAAGCTGTAAGCCTTCTCCCTGAAAGCTGGCTTCCTTGGATCAAACGTCTAGCGCAAGCTGGACGCCAAGGTCCAGTGTGGTGAGAATAAGGCACTGCGTACCTTGTTCCAAGGTTCGAGTCTCTTTCAGCCAGAGATCAGCGTTTTTTTTATATAATATATATATATATATAAATATATATATAAAATTTATTCTGCAAAATATATTTGATAAAACCATTTCTCATGCTCATTTAAAATAGTTTTTCCCACTTCATTCTGGAACTTCTGTGTTTTTTTTTTTTTTTTTTTTTTTTTTTTTTTTTTACGCCATAGAAAAGCTTTTCATAGATCCATCTGCCGATACATTCACCCCTAAATATCTAAGACATTCACTTTTTGTTTTCAGTAAGTGAAATGCGCTGAACATGTTACACTTCATTTGAGGTTAGTCACAAATACTGGCATCCCTTCTCGACCAGCGAGATGTCAGTTCAGAGTATAGCAGTTCCTGGACCCCCCACTGCTGTATTAATTATCCAGTTCAACCCCCCAGGTGAAAGTGGCTCTTCAGGCATGGTAACGTCACACCTGCCAGCCTGGTTGGGAGGCACATTTGCTTTCCCATTTTGAATATTCTCTTGCTTTAAGTGGCTCTCTGCTCTGGTAACTTAATATTTTTAGTGTATAAATATTGTACGTAATGGTGAAGAAATATACTGGTAAAGAGAAAATATCTACTATGTTTGCCTTGCCCTTGTCTTGCTCGGTTACTTGCAATATTCCTTATATTGTTTACAGTGGGGTGCAAGAGGCCTTTAATTGCTACACGTGTTTCGTAATAAGAAAACTTTTGTCTAGTTTTTAGTTACTCTCACCACCTTTCTTTTTACCCTGTTCACTCAATTTCCTTTGATCTTACTCAAACTTACTTTTTTACATGCCCTTCAAAATTTATACACCAGCCGTTGTATCCTTTCTTCAGGATCTTCCAAAAGAATTTGTCACAGGCAATGAGGAACTGTAACAACTCCCACTTTGTATAAGATTTATTATATTTTAATACTCTCCCGTACACCCCATTATTCAACTGTTTTACAGGTTTCTCATTACATATGTTAGACAACCATTGTAATGTTATACATACCTTTCTATTGTCCATTTTCAGTAAAACTGATTCATATACATGATTTGTTATTGTTTGTAGCGTAATAATCATTTATGTGTTATGACTATTTATAGTTTGTCATTTATCGTGATGTTCTCGTCTTCCGTTTCGTGTGTGTGAGAGCTTATAAGTGTGTTTGTGTAGTGTGTGTGTGTGTGTGTGTGTGTGTGTGTGTGTGTGTGTTTTGTGTGTGTGTGTGTGTGTGTGTGTGTGTCATCGTGTTCTTGAGGTGAACCTCTACACTCCATTTTAACTGATATTGTATCCTTGCACACGCACGTACGAAAAAGAACTTGATAACAGGTGCTAACAATACTCACCAAACATAAAATAACTCAAGCTACAAGATGTAATGTTATATACAACACAATCATCTTGAAGCTGCGACAGGTTACAAGAAAAAATCAAACCAGGGGATAGCTTACCTGCCACAAGCCCCAGTATCAGAAGTGCGGTAGTACAAGCCAGTGAGCGCATTATGATCAGGTCTTCACACGACAACACAACCAAACCCTGAGTGAGGAAAATGCTATAATATTATTTGTGCTGCTCTGTAACATGAGAGAGTTAGCATTAATGAAAGGAAATCTGCGCTACGTAGCACCCATGGGTTACCCCCATAAGAATTATACTTATATATTAGGGAACAAGAAACCAGAAGGAACAAGTGTGATAAAGTGCACCTTGAGACTATTATTAACTATCGTAGAGCTGTTAGACGACCAGTGGTACATTACTTCTACTGACAATTATTATTGCTGCAGGCGATTTTTTTTACACTACTGGTATTTGTACCTCTAACAAGCCCTTGTACCTGGGTGGAGCACAAGGTACAATATATTATTTAGCTATCTTACATCCACGATTAATGACTTATCATTCCAACAAACATGGCTGGCCCAGCACTCTGGGATGATTGACCCAGAGTTCCCTTCCTTTCGTGCTTCTCTGAATAGTTAATGGTGCAAGTGGGACCGAAACGTAGTCATAACTTTCACTCTCCTATATGCGGGTTATCTGTATTGTTGCAGCCACGGCATTGTCATTTAATTCTTTACAGCGGACTCGTTGCGGTGGCTATTATACTAAAATAGTTCAGGTGGTTGTTTCCGTACTCACTGAAGTAGCTTTAAGATTTCCTTTTTATCTAACATTCAAATAAGACAATTTTGCAAGCACTATAGACAGTGGTTTGTATTTATTTCTCCCAGCATCATATTAGTTCAATAAAGTTTTCTTCATACCACTTCAATTTTTCTTTAGTTTCCTTGTACATTATCAGTTGTATAAATAAAATTTATTACAAAAGAAATGGCAGAACAAAAAGGCTAGTTAGTTATGATTGTCAAAGGCAGATGTCAATAGACACTGGTCTTGTTGTGTGTGTGTGTGTGTGTGTGTGTGTGTGTGTGTGTGTGTGTTTTGTGTGTGTGTGTACTCGCCTAATTGTGGTTGCAGTGGTAGAGACTGCTCCTGGCCCCGCCTCTTCACTGATAGCTACTAGGTCCTCTGCTTCCTGAGGTTTGTCATACCTCGTCTTTAAGCTTGTATGGTTCCTGCCTCTAGTACATCACTTGCTAGGCTATTCCACTTCCTGACGACTCTGACTGAAGAAATACTTCCTAACATCCCTGTGATTCGTCTGAGTCTTCAGCTTCCAATTGTGTCACCTTGTTTCTTTGTCCCCTCTCTGGAACAACCTGTCTGTCCACCTTATCTATTACACGCAGTATTTGGTATGTCGTTATCATGTTTCCCCTGACCCTCTTACCCTTCTGTCCTCCAGTGTCGTCAGTCCGATTTCTCTCAACCTTTCTTCATAGGACATACCCCTGAGCTCCGGAACTAGCATTGTTGCAAACCTTTTGCACTCTAATTTTTTGACCTGCTTGACCAGGTGTGGGTTCCAAACTGGTGCTGCATACTCCAGTATGGGCCTGACGTACACAGTGTAAAGTGTCTTGAACGATTTCTTACTAAGGTATCGGAACGCTATTCTCAGGTTTACCAGGCGCCCATATGATGCAGCAGTTATCTGTTTGATGTGTACCTCCGGAGACATACTCGGTGTTATGGTAACCCCAAGATCTTTCTCCTTTAGCGAGGTTTGCATTCTTTGGCCACATAGCGGTCTTTGCCCTTCTCCGATCTTCATGACTTTGCATTTGACGGGGTTGAATTAAAGATGCCTGTTACTGGATCACGGGTCCAGCCTGTCCAGGTCTTTGTAGTCCTGCCTGATCCTCATCTGATTTAATTCTCCTCATTAATTCCCCATCTGCGAACAGAGACAAAAGTTAGTGTATGAGTGACGGAAAACCGAGAACTCTGGTATCAAAACCCCTCCAGGGAGGTTCCTTGACGCTGGTGAGGGGCTCTGGATCTAGGGAATTGGATCTGTGCTTTGGTTCCCTGAATTGAGCCTGAATACCTTCCACACCTCCCCCATGCGCTGTATAATCCTAGGGGTTTAGCGCTCCATGATTATTATAATAATCTGCTGTAAAAATCTATTATCTGAAGCAAAATGAATAGTGAACACAACCCAGTGATCACAACAAGTGACCTTCAGATATTGACAGACAGTAACCGCGAGACGTGACTAGAAGACTCCATAATCACCGATTAACTTTAGTTGTATAATGAGGTCATAACATTGTATATTTATCCAGTATTTAGGAGTCAGACGTAATTTTACTTTTAATTCCATTCAGATGAGGTGCCCTGATCCTCGTGAAGAGCTCTTGATCCAGGGAAATGAGTCTACACACCACTTAACTAAGACAAACGTGATTGTCCGTCATTCCCAATTCGCTGACCGACCTCTATGGGTTTAGCGATTTTTCATAACAATAAGAGACTTTTAATGGTCAATAATTGGGCAAAAAAATAGACTAAATAAGAGGAGCAAGAGAATTTAGGTTGTGTGACTGTTTTGAGAGTCGTGTTTCAGGAACGCGACTAATAACATTGTTCAGTAAAGTTTTTGGATTAATTTAAAAGTTTAAAATACCTCTATTAACAAAAATAACCTTCACGAATGACTAGCATCATTTATAAATGAAACTTTATTGTTATCCATATGTAAAATTATGCAGCACGTTTTAACAAATAATTTAGTGAAATCCCTGAGAATGTAAAGTCCTATTTGCGAATACGACGAACGTAGATGAAGTCAGTTCACAAAAATAAATCTTGAACTCAAAAAAAAGAAAAGCTTTCAAAACTTACCAAATATTCGTTCTGTGAAGGTGAGTCTCGCACTGAGCTACAACACACCAAATTCCACCTTATATACCACCTCAACATTGCGAGTTGCCATCCACCACCAATTCATGAGCATATTATTTTGTGTATTTAATTGGGCCATTCTAATATTTAGGTTTTTTTTAAATTTTTTTATTTAAGTTTAATATGAGTCAAGTTCATTGATTTGTGTAATCTTCGTAAGATGTATAGAGTATAAGTAGAGTTATCCAGAATATTTACGGGAAGTTTGTAACAGGAAAAACCTGTTTGAGTTAGATATTTCCCAGAGTATAGAAGGATAACAGGGATTTCCCCCACCACAGGAGTCTTACGGTGGATCTTCCTTGTCTCCTAGAGATTCTCTTTTAAATGTTGCAGTGTTTAAGGGGGTGGTAATCACACCCACACACACACACACACACACACACGAGCTGATCCTCGACCCCTGCAACCACAATTAGGTGAGTACGCACACACACACGCACACACACACACACAAAACACACACACACCACACACACACGCACGCACGCACGCACAAAACACACACACACACACACACACACACACACACACACACACACACACACAAAACACACACACACTCACTCACACACTTACACAAGTGAAGAAACGAGGCATAAAGACAATACGATAATGATATAGCAGCGAAAGCAAATCTGACCCCAAAACTGTTAACGTACAGTCAATCAGGAGGAAAACAACAGGTAATCAGGCTGACGAAGGAAGGAGGGGAGATCACAAGAAACGACCGAGAAGTATGAGGAGCTCAACACGAGATTCAAAGAAGTTTTTCACAGTGGAAACAGAAGGGACTCCAGGAAGATGGAGATGTGGGGTACACCAACAAGTGTTGGACAAAATACACACAACCGAGGCTTTCTAAGCGAGTGGATAAACCCCAAAGGCGATGGGGCCCGGCAATATCTCTCCATGGGTCCTGAGAGAGGGAACAGAGGCTCGATGTGTACCACTTAAAAACAATCTTCAACACATCTATTGAAACAGGGCGGCTACCTGAGTATGGGAAAACAGCAAATGTAGTCCCAATTTAAAAAAAAAAAAACAGACACGAAGCATTAAAAATTCAGAGCGGTGTCACTGACATGTATTTGTATGAAAAAGGTCATTTATCAAAGAAGAGGTGGTAGAGCAACTAGAAAGGAAATGAGCTTATCAACGACAAGCTAGCATGGTTTTCAGGGACGGGAAATCCTGTGGTCACAAACCTACTTGAGTTCTACACAGGGTGACAGCAGTAAGAAATAGAAAGAAGGGGTAACCTGAGAAATAGCCGTTCCGATACCTAAATAAGGAATCGTTCAAGACACTGTACATTGTGTAATGTTTAGGCCCATACTGGAGTATGCAGCACACAGTCCTGGAACCCACACCTGGTCAAGCACGTCAAGAAAGTTTAGAGAAAAGTACAAGGTTTACAACAAGGCTAGTCCCAGATCTCGGGGAATGTCGTACGAGGAAAGGTTGAGGGAATTCGACTGAACGACACTGGAGACAGAAAGGGGCCAGGGGAGACAATGATAACGACATACAGGAAACTGCGGGGAATAGACAAATGTGGAAGAGGAGATAGGAATGTTCCAGAGAGGGGACACAGGGACAAGGGGTCACAAACTGAAGCTGAAGACCTCAGACGAGTCCACAGGGGACGTAGGAAGTAAATTTCTTTCAGTCATAGAGTTGTCAGCAAGTGGAAATAGCCTACAAGTGCAAAAGTAGTGAGGCAGGAACCATACATAGTTTTAAGAAGAGGTATGATACAGCTCAGGAAGTAAGAGAAGTGAGGACCTAGTACGATCAGTAAAGAGGCGGGGCCAGAGCTGAGTCTCGGCCCGCTGCAACCATCAATTAGGTGAGTATAATTTAGGTAATAACACACACACATCCGACGCGCGCGCGCACACACATACACACACACAACACACACACACACACAATGCACACACACACACAACTAGACCCAAGCACGTGAAGAAAACTAGAGAAAGTGCAAAGGATTGCAACAGACTAGTCCCAGAGCTAAGCAGGTTTGGGGCCCAACGAGAGAAGGTTAAGGGAAATCAAACCTGACGACACTGGAGGACAGGAGAGATAGGTGGGACATGAATACGACATACAAAATATGAGAGGAATTGACAAGGTGGACAAAGACAGTAGTTCTCCAGAGATTGGACACAGTAACAAGGGACACAGTTGGGAACTGAAGACCCAGATGAATCACAGGGATGTTAGGAAGTATTCTTCAGCCACAGAGTAGTCAGTCAGTGGAATGTTTTGGGACGCGATGTAGTTGAGGGCAGGATCCATACCATAGCTTTTTAAGCAGAGGTATGAATAAGCACACGGCTCAGGGAGAGTGACCTAGTAGCGATCAGTGTAGAGGCCGGGGCCAGGAGCTCGGAACTCGAACCCCCGCAACCTCAACTAGTGAGTACACCAAACACAGAATCACACACACACACAACACACACACACACACACACACACACACACACACACACCACCCACACACACACACACACACACATCACACATTACACACACACACACACACACAACACGCACACACACACGACTACAAACACACAATCACATACACACGTCCACGCACGACACACAACACCACACACTCACACCACACAATCAACACACACACAGGCGTTTAGTTTTCTGTTTTGTATCGACTGTAAAGGATGAGGTAAATAATATTAACTAGCTGTGTCTGGTATCTTTCGGGTGGTTTGGAAAAACAGGAAATAATCTGCTTGAATTAAATATTTCCCAAAAAAAAAACGAAGGGATAGGGTTTTTTTCCCTTAAGAACCATAATTAACTCCAACCCCCATTCTAACCCCCCACCCAATCACCTATCTCTAATAATTTCGATTTAGGGCCCTGTTGGACACGCAATGCCTGACGCCTCTACCCAAAAAAACCTCATTCTCTCTCCACCTGGCAATATAAACACAAATGCAGTATAAAGTGATACCTTTATAGACTAACGTTTCGCCCACAAACTGGTGGGCTTTTTTCAAGTCACAACAGAACTACCTGGGGTGGAAGAAAACGCGAGAATTTTATAGTCCGGCTGAGTCAGGTGAAGAATGCCTGCAATCTATGATGTACCTAGTGGGGTTATAGAGTCAAAAACCATGGGGGTAGCTTGGAAGAGATTGGATAAGTTTTGTGAGCAGACCTTCTACAGTGTTCTTAAGGTGGGGATAGCGATGAAGAAGTTTTCTTGGCAAGTGGTGTCAGTGCTATTTTAGTAGAAGTGTGTCCCGAACCGCCCGCGCGCCCCCCCCTTTTATTTTTCTGGTTGAAGTTGTCGGATATAGAAAATAAGTGATGATTCCAGGATTCATCGGTATGAGTGTTTCGTCTTCTGTGGCGATAAGTCTTGAGTTTTCTGTATTTTAATTTCAAGTGGTTTTGTGTGAATTAGGTGTTGTACGCAGGCATTCCTTGTGTCGTCAGACCCTGCTTGCGTAATGGGTGTTTCTGAAATACGTGTTTGAGGTCCCTTGATGTATCGCCCTACGTAATAAACTTGTCGCAGCCATTACAAGGGATATTGTTATACCCCTGCTGAACCACTTGCCAAGAAACTTCTTCATCGCTATCCCACATAAGAACACAGTAGAAGACTTGCTCCAAACAATCCAATCTCCTTTTCCAAGCTACCCAATTTTAGACTCTATAAACCCCACTCGGTAACATCATCAGATGCACCAATTCTTCACCTGACCTCAGGCCGACTTATAAAATAGCTCGCCGGGGTCCCTTCCACCCCAGGTAGTTCTTTTTGTGACTGGTGGTTAAAAAGCCACTGTGTGGGCGAAACGTAGTTCAGTAAGGATCACATTATACTGCATTTGTGTTTATATCGCCATTGTGTCGGAATTTTAATACCATTTATTACCACTCTCCTCCACCTTTCGAAACCTTCGACATCATTGAATTCAGTATTGTTGTGTCCCATTCTACATAAACCAATCTAACCTTTACTGTGAATCCCGACCCCGTCCTCCTGTAACGTTGTTGCTTCCTCAACCATTTCCATAAAACGGGTGTTGCAATACATGCAAATCGAAAAATTTTGAGACATAGGACACCCTTTGTCCCTCAAACCTTCTCCATTTTTTCAACACTCTACCCAACCTACCACTAATTTGGGCACCTGAATCGTAGCTTCTTGCATACAAGGTCTTCACCCATTTTTACTATTCCCTGTCGCCCAATAACCCATAAGCCTTAAAAGTGTCAACATGTACTCTCTATACACACCGTCATAAGCATTCTCCCAATCAATGCCCCAAAATTCCACCACCCTTACAACCCTGCAAAAATTCCTAATACGACTATGTCCATCCCTCATACTCGACCCGGAATCCCAACTGATGGAACCCTTGTCAACCAATACCACCTATTAACCTTCTTCATCCTGTTCTCCTAATATCTTCGCAAAAATCTTATAGATTCCGTAACCATTAAAGATATGGCCCCTGTAGTGGAGCTGCTCAGTGTTTCTCCCTAACGCTTTTTTTCTTTACCAGCACGACCCCAAACACCGTCCCTCTGTGACGTTCCCCAATTTCCCCTTCCTTCCAGCATACAATTCAAATATCTGAACCAAAAACAAACATTTTATGGTTTCCCATATGCACAATCTGTAAAAAAATCATTGGAAAGCCCATCAATACCCGGTGCTTTCCCCTTACTTAAATTGAACACTGCCTCTTTCACTTCTTCCATACTTATTATTCCCTCCAATCCCCCTCTGTCCTCCCGTCAACCTCTCCCCAAGACATTCACCTCCTCCTCTTTCTCTTTTATTAACTATCTCCAAATTTAACCTTTTTCCCATTTTCCTTTTTAAACCAAGTAGGTCCGCAATAATTACTTATCCCCTCAGTAGTCACCGAACATTTTTGCTCCTTAGTATAACCTTCCAAATACGTCACTAACCCCCCTAAAAGTAATAATAGTGTACTCCTCATTGTAGTCTAATGCGAAAACTTCTTACACACTACCCGACGGTTTATTCTCCTCCA